CTTAATTGAGGTTTGTTCTCTTCAATTGGAAGATGTTTTGATTTTCCTCCATTTCTCGTTTGCTCGATCTTGAATCGTTCGGCTGTGTTACTACTGGTGTTCTTCATCTGATGTTTTGAATTCGAGATTCGGATCTTAAAAACATTAGGTCGTTTTCTTAATCTGTTTATTAGTGTTTTTTCATGCTGGCGAGTTTGTGTTGCTTTCAGTGAAGATGAAATCTGGATCTTCGCATCTTATTTTGCCAGTATTAATTCATCGATTTCTTCGCTATAATGAATTTAACTCAATCGCTGTGGAGAAATAATTTACACTGCGAATTTTTGGATCGAATTTAACTCAATCGCGTTTCTGTGTTCTTTGAATTGTGAAGATTTTTCAGTTGATTTTGAAGTTACCACGGCAACAATGTCCAGGCCTTTACATCGAGGTGCGTCCGGTGTTAAGGTACATGGTCATGGCGATGATAAATGGGATTCCCAAATGAAAGATAAAACTGAAAGGGAAGAGATGGAGAAGAGAGTTTCTTTAGATCATGGAGGAACTCTGGCTTCCAGGCTTCCCATTCGTGTACTTTTTCCAGACAATTCCCCATCCAAATATGGAGGCCCTGAGAATGACTTTGCTTCTGATTCTTTGAACGCACGAAGTCGACAGCAATTTATAATGCTAATGTTGAAATTAAGTTTAGTGGTGATTATAATTCTGGCCCTTACTGGTTCCTTTTGGTGGACACTTTCCATTTCGAGTTCATCCCAAGTTCAAATATTCCATGGTTATCGACGACTCCAAGAGCAGCTCGTTTCAGACCTTTGGGATATAGGCGAGATTTCCCTTGGTGCTTCGAGGTTGAAAGAGATCGAATTCTGTTCTCCAGAACTGGAGAATCATGTTCCTTGCTTCAATTCGAGCGATATTCAAGATGGTGCCTGTGATCGACATTGTGAGCCTAGCTCGTGGGAGAATTGTTTGGTCCAACCTCCCTTGAATTACAAGATTCCTCTTAGATGGCCGACCGGAAGGGATGTTATCTGGGTAACAAATGTGAAAATTACAGCACAGGAGGTGCTTTCCTCTGGAAGCCTATCCAAAAGGTTTGTCAATCAATCCATGATAAAGAAAATCTCATATTATATTTCTTTGATTAATTGTTCTTCTGAACTTACAGAATGATGATGCTTGAAGAAGAACAAATATCCTTTCGTTCTGCCTCTCCAATGTTCGATGGTGTCGAAGATTACTCTCACCAAATTGCAGAAATGATTGGGCTGAGAAATGAATCTAATTTCAGAGAAGTTGGGGTATGTATCTTGACAACTGCCTTCTTTTGTATCTCTTCATCACATATACTGCTGATGTGTGCAAACGATCCCACTTCACGTGTAAATTTATGTCGTTGACAAACAGATTTATTTTAAAACTTTATAATATCAGTTTAATTGATTAATGATTTTGCAGGTAAGAACCATTCTGGATATAGGGTGTGGTTATGGGAGCTTTGGAGCACATCTTTTCTCCAAACATCTCATAACCATGTGCATAGCAAATTATGAGGCTTCAGGCAGTCAGGTTCAACTAACTCTTGAACGGGGTCTTCCTGCAATGCTTGGTTCGTTTACTTCGAAACAGTTGCCATATCCATCTCTGTCCTATGATATGGTTCATTGTGCACGATGTGATGTTGACTGGGATAGTAAAGGTAAACTTAAAGCTTTGCTGTATGATATTGATGGATGTTATTGTTTATTAACTTATGTATCACCTCCATATTTGTAATGTAAAATAAAGGAAAATGACTTTGAAAAACTTACTATCTCGTTGACTGGCACGAGTAAAACTGAGTTTTTTGTATAAATTTAGTAGGAACGTGAACAGGGTCGTCTTGCAACAGTTGAATCAATATTTGCAATCTCGTATAGCATGAACTAACGTCTGAGGAGATTCCGTTGAGTTCGGGTTTACTGTATATCTTTTGGTTAATGGCCAATACTTGAAGTTAGAGTTTTGTAGCTTCGGAGTATGATTCTCGTGCGTTATTTATAATTCTCCATGGTTATTTGATCTGCTTCATAGAAAGATAGTCATGGCCTTGTATGCTATAACACAAAACACAAGAAGTTAGTCTATCCAATAAGAACAAACCCGGTTTTTGAGAACGTCACAAGTGTTTATATGTCTTGTGCCAGCCTGAGGTCGATTCTGTCCATCATTCTGTCAGAGATTATATTAAAACATGGAAATTTTCAATTCTTTTTCCTTTTCCATGGCAGATGGCAAATACTTGATTGAGGTTGATAGAGTTTTGAAGCCAGGGGGGTATTTTGTCTGGACATCGCAGATTACAGATACTCAGACTTTTCGTCACAAAAAAGAGAATCAGAAAAGGTGGAATTTCATTCAGGATTTTGTAGGATATCTGTGCTGGAAGATGTTGCCTCAACAAGATGAAACTGTTGTCTGGAAGAAAACTAGTAAAAGTAATTGTTATAGCTCACGGTACGACTTCGAATTTATTAACGTCATGTATTGAATGTTCTTAAAATCTTTTCATCTGTCTTGTTTGAGTATCTGTCAGATTGCAATCCTAATTTTGTCTATTCCTGCTGTTTTTTATATCTAGGAAGCCAGATTCGTCTCCTCCAATATGTGGTAAAGGTCATGATATCGAATCTCCATATTACCGGCCACTCCAAGCCTGCATCGGTGGAAGAAAAAGTCGTCGTTGGGTTCCTATTAATGAACGAAGAACTTGGCCATCGAGGGCTATCTTAAACAAGAGTGAATTGGCTGTACATGGTAATTTATGATGTTGTTTACGTTTCTTCGAATAGAATAGTTTTGTTGGACTTGATATTCGATCACATCCCGCTTACGTTTCAAGTTGACATGTTTTCAGGATTGGGTTTGGATGATTTCACAGAGGATGGTATAAGCTGGAAAATGGCAGTGAAGAACTACTGGTCTCTTTTGTCGCCACTAATCTTCTCGGATCATCCAAAACGACCCGGTGATGAGGATCCTTTACCCCCATACAACATGCTCCGCAACGTGCTAGACATGAACGCTCATTTTGGAGGCTTCAATTCTGCATTATTGGAAGCTGGAAAGTCTGTATGGGTCATGAACGTGGTGCCAACAGATGGTCCTAACCATCTTCCCTTGATAATGGATAGAGGCTTCGTTGGGGTATTGCACGATTGGTAATAGTATTCTTCTAAACTTCAATATTTGCACCTAAATCTTGTAATTCTTGCTGGAAAAGAACGGGAAAAATCATGTTTTTATGAATCCTAGTGCAGCTCATCTGACAGTTTCTGTAGTTAAAAATTGAAGTTTCTTGTATCCTTACGTTATAGTTGGCTTCATCTATTCAGGTGCGAGGCCTTTCCAACGTATCCTAGATCATATGATTTGGTGCATGCAGCAGGACTTCTGTCCCTTGAAGTAACTAAGAAGCCAAGGTGCTCGATGCTCGATTTATTCAGCGAGATTGATCGGTTACTTCGTCCAGAGGTACTATCTTAAACCAATACTCAAGTGAACTATGTCCTGTTGAGAATAAGCAATTAGATAGTCATTCTAAACTGGCTCGGCTCCTAATGATCCGAAAGCACTTGGTTAGAAACTTACACATTGTCCTGCAAGATGTGTTATTGATTGTTCATTGATGTTGGTGGCTTTTTCCAGGGTTGGGTGATAATCCGTGACATGGCCACACTTATCGAATCGGCTCGAACTATAACTACACAGCTTAAGTGGGACGCACGAGTTATAAAAATCGAAGACAATAACGACGAGAGAGTCTTGATCTGCCAAAAACCATTCTTGAAGAGACAAGCAATCTGATTTATACGTTCTGAAGGTGAAAAGTATTTATATTCATTCATTCTCTGGGAGGGATGGAATAATCATATCTTTGGGGAGAGGCAAAATCTAAATTTCTGAAACAAAAAAAAGAACAAAAAAGAGAGAGAGAGAGAGAGAGAGAGAGAGAGAGGGAGGGAGAGAGAGAGAAACAAGAAAAGAAGGAGAAGGAGGAGGGAGGACATAAATATGATACGAGCACACCACAATAGCAGCTTTATATTATTATATATAGAAGAAGCCGTAAGGCCAAAAATAGGAAATCATGTAATTATGGAAATGAGCACAGAAGAGGGAATTGTAGGATTTGATTAGAGAATTTTCATGGCTCTTAAGCAGTTCCTGAAATGTTGTTGTTATTATATATATATACATCAAATCAATGTGATCAACAATAAGCTCCTCATGTTTGCTGTACCCATTCATCATTTAAAATCATCTCTGCTTTCTGGAATTTCATTTCTTCTTCCCTGCTCTGCTTCCTAATGTGGAAATATTTAATACCTTACTCTTTTTTTCTTTTTTTTTCTTTCTTTTTTTAATTATTATTATTATTATTTTAGCACTAATGCTTGCTTCAGAAGTTGATAGATTATTCAGCTTCTTCGTAATGCTTTTGAAGAAGTTGATAGCTTATTTAGGTTTTATTTCAATAGGTTTATGACAAAGTCAAATTTTAAAGCTTAATCAATATTTTAAATATACATTTTCATTGTCTAAAAGTTCATGAATTTTAAAATAATTTGAAACTCCTAACTGCTAAATTCTAAAAAGTTTACTTCTCGTCGCCAAACTCACCAAGAGTATAGGAAGAAACGCCCTTAAAACTCACCAAGAGTATAGGAAGAAACGCCCTTAAAACTCACCAAGAGTATAGGAAGAAACGCCCTTAAAACTCACCAAGAGTATAGGAAGAAACGCGACAAAGCCCGAAAGTCATGCCTACACTATGACCAAGCTCGTCCAATCCAAATCCAACTGCATCTCTCACTTCGAGCGCATTGTCGAAACAGGTCCCTGCCCGATAGGGTGTAAAGTTGCTCGATCGATGGATTGCTATCCACTTATTTTCAAAATGCCCTATCGTCACAGTGATTTGGAATTACAAAGTTTATGAAGGGGTTGATGGAGGAAGATTTATATCACAATGTAATATGATTATTCCATCAAGAAAAACAATCTTCAAATCACTAAAAAGGAAAAAAGGGACTCACAAACCACAAGACAAACGTAGTTCTATGAAGGAGAAAAACAGGACACAAAATATGAAATGGCTGAAAAGGTGAGAATAGAAGAACACAAAACAAAACAGAACAGAAAAGGTGAATGTTGTTGTGGTATCTCAGCGGAAGGGGCAAAGTGTTAACGAGATGAAGCCAACCCCAGAGAAGAAGGGCGTGGGGTTGGCGCTTTTGATCTGTGCCTGCCTTTGTGTGCAGCAGCAACACTTGCAGTGCTGCTCCTCCGCCCACTAATGGAAGACGATGCAATCATCTGGCTTGTTTTCCTTGATGATCTTCTGCGAGAATTCCAACTACTGTTCCCTCCTAGTGCTGCTTTAGCAATGCTATCGGTCACTGCTTCTCGAGCTCTCTGTGCTTTGATGGCCTGCTTGTTTAGATAAACAAGGTTTGGAAGAAGGCCAATAACAGCCTTGCGAAGCTGCTCATCACTCACGTTGCTTTGAATTGGATTTCCCAACAGATTAAGAGCTTGAAGAGAGTTATAGTTGGCTACAAGTTGGCCCAGAGCTTTGGTTGTTGAAATCTTGTTGAAGCTCAGGTCGAGTACAGTGAGCTTCAAGAGTCGATGTAGTCCCTCGACATCACTAATCTTGTTGCCAGCGAGATGAAGTTCCTTGATAATCGCACAATTTGACAGCCCTGATGATGCAGTTGAACAAATTGCACACTCAGAATAATAATCAGAAATGGACACAATTCTACGCTAAGTTTTCCAAACAGTACCATGTCCTATGCGAGAAATGCGATTGTAACTCAGGTCGAGGATTCGAAGACGTGTTAATTCTTTGAGTCCTTCAATGGCGCTGATCTTGTTCCTGGACAAGTTAAGAGTGTGCAGTCCCTTGGGCAGTGATCCAGAGTTGATGTGAACTGGAAACCAAGCAGCCATGTTAGTAGTGGCAAGAACAATAAGGAAAAGACAAGTAACCAGAATATAACTTGAACAAAAACGAATTCTTACCTATGAGGTTGCCGGACAAATTGACGGATCTAAGACCGGATAGGTGTGAGATTGTGGGTATGGCTTTTAAGCCAATACCAGAGATGTGAGCCACGGTCGAGGAAGAATTCAGAGATTGGATGACGCTATTAGCGTGCAAAATCTCTTCTGTAAGATTGAGTTCTCCACGTCGAGCTGTGTGACTTGCAGTTCTCTCGGGATATGGCAGAGAGAAAGTATCTTCATCGTTGTCATCTCTAATGTTGTCGATCGAAAGACATGGCTCAATTTGAAGATCCTTCACCCACTCATCCACTCTTCTTAGGGAAGATGATTCTGCTGAAAATGCAACCCACTGGTTTTGTGGCCACAAACCAGAGACTCCATTACACAAGCTCTCCTGATTCTGATCCTCAACTTTACTGTTATTCGGGTCATTGGTCCAGGTTTCCTCTGCATATGATCCTGGCGATTCCATCATACTTTTCCCCACAGCTCTGTTCGGCTCAAGATTATCCGAACAATACCCGCCTTGCTGGTTGAAAGCAGAGCTAGTAGGAGCAGCAGCCTTGGCAGTCCACGGCTTTTGCAGGTTTCTATGGCTCCACAGGAACAACTTCCACCACAACCTTCGACTTCTGGAAGGCAGAATCTGGCTTGAAGAACGCTTCTTCAACATCACTTTATCAGCACTGCGATGGGTCATAATAGATTCCGGACTGCCCGGCTCGACATAGTTCCACATTTTGTCAGCCAATTCTTGCAGTTTCTCAAAAGACTGAGACTTTGAAGGGGGCATCTGATGAGATAGATCTCTAAGCACATCCCTGGTTTCCAGATTAGAGCAGGAGCGTTTAAGTTTAGGCGATGCCCAACATACTGCCTTACCAATTCCAGGATCACTAACATGTCCAGTTTGGATCGCATCAGCCCCTTCTCCACCTTCAACGACGGTATTATCAAATTGTTTTTCCAACGAAGTAGAAAATCGAAACTCGAATTCTTCTCCACTGGTGTCTTGAGCAGCGAGATCAAAGTCAGAAAGGTTCCTCTTGATGGAGTTGTCGTCACGCTCATCTTCCCCTTCATATGCAGCTTCTACTGCTCCTCCTCCTCCTCCTACAGGATTCTCATTGTTCGTTACCTTAACATCCAGCTTAGAATTATTCTCAGATGGGTACAGAATTGCAACGTCCATGGTCGATGACTTCGCTTCTCCATCTTGAAAAGATTCCTCAGTGTGATGGATACTGACTTGCAAGGTCTTCGTCAAACTATTCAATTCAGCAGGCATTTGCGATTCTAAACCATCCTGCAACCATAGAGTAAAGTGTGTATATATATATATATATTGAGCAAACCCCCAGAATTTTTTTTGACAAGCAACTAAGATATGAATAGCGAAAGAAGACATACCTTGGTTTTCTTCTTCTTCCCTGATCGAACGGAGAAGCAATTGAATTTTGCCATATGTTCAATTTTAGAAAGATAAATAATAAAAATATCTCTACAGATCGGAATGATAGTTCTACGTTTCGGTTCTTGTTAGTATCCTTTTCCCACGAACTATTCCTTCCGCCTGGCCCTATCAACACTTTTCTTTAATTAATGGCTCCAATGCTCACATCGCTAACGATGTTGATAGATCAATACAGTTTTGTTTTCAAAACAAGAATGATCGGATTGACATTAGCCGTAATCGATTGGAAGACGTCGAACCAGCAGAAAACAGCAATCGAACGACGCCCATGGACCAGAAAATCCACGAAAAGGACCAATACTACAGAGCGATTGAGACGAAATCACTTCGGTGTCGGCCAGAGTTGTAAACGAGGCAGCTTCTCCTTAGAAGCTTCACAAAATTTTTCTCGAAGATAAAAAAACCTAATCACACAAACAAAACAAAACAAACCCGAATAAGAAAACCTCCCAAACCCTAAACCATAAAAGAAAGCAAATCCCATTCCCAAATCCACACGAATCAAACAATAACGTTCTGTAATTCAACACCAATAACAAAAAAAAAACATAGCTAAATCGGGTAAACAGAAACAGTAATCGAAGGAACGGCCTAGGTTTATTTCGGAAACTGAAACATGAAAAGGAATCTTTCTGAATTGAACGCACGAAAGAGAATCAAATTGATAAAAGGAGAGTACCTTTTGGCAATGGATTGCTCCAGATTTACCTCGATTGAACCCTCAAAATGAATCTGATTAATCGCTTTCGTTGTAGCAGTAGGAGAACACAGTGCTCTCCACTCACAAATCAAAAATGAAGAGAGAGAGAGAAACAGAGGAGAGGGAAACAAAGTGTGAAATGAAGGAAGCGAATGGCGGGTGCTACGAATTTATAGAGGACGGCGTTACAGTCGTGAAGAGCTCTCGAAGTTACAGAGGAGAGAGAAAGAGAGACGCGCAAGGAACACGGCTTCCCCTTCTTTCCTTACAAATTATTTGTTTAATTACATCCAATTTAATTTTACAATATTTCTATTTTTTTTTCTTTTTTTTTTCTTAAATTAAATCCATATTTATTTTTAAAAAATATGACGTCACCAGTATTTTAAGTACAATTTTAAATCTATTGGTCCGTATAATTAAATATTTATTTATAAAATACTTGAAATATATTTTTTTAAATAAAAACTTAAATTAAATTAAATTAAAAGGTAATCCAAAGAGACACTTAATCATCAAAATTTATTTAATTAATCAACCACTTATTCCAAACAAAAATAATTAAAAAATAACCTATCAACAACCTTATTATAAAATAAATATCGATTAAATTGAAATTTTATAATTTTAAAAAAATATTAAATAATCTATATGGTTTGATAATATATAAAATTTATTTATGAGAATTGTATAAGGGATTAAGTTTAATATTCAATTAAATACAAAATTTGTAAATTAATCATACATATTTAACTTTTTTTCTGTTGATTTTTTCTTTGCCAGCCAATATGACGTGGAATATTTGTTTTGTATGGCTATGATGCCACATGGGTCGAATATCAGTCGGGGCCCACATAATCTGTGGGGTCCATCCATTTCGAACTTTCATCCTCTGCCGTCCGATCAGTCTGCTTCCTATATGTCCACGTGTAAGAACCATATTTTGCGCTGACCTTTAATAACCGGAATAGATTAAAAAATAAACCAAAACGACGTCACCGTCCGTCGTACAAATTAAGACGTACGGCGATTTCTGTTGCCTCTTTTTGTTTTTTTCTGCTTTTCAAATTTGTTGCTTTTTATTCCCTTTTTACCCTTTAATTTCGCTTAATTAATTTTTATAGATTTTATTTCACTTAATTATTGTAATATAAATAAAGGAAGTGATTCGAACTAGGGTAATATTTTAACAATTTTAGAAATTAATATTATTTTCCTATTTAAATTTCTCTTTTTTTTTTTTTGTGTGTTTATGGGTTAAATTTATTTTAATAAATTTTGTTAAACAATAATAATAATTTTTAATGTAATGTGAATATATTTTAATAGCTAATTTTAATATAAAAAATTAACAATAAATTCATTATTAAAGATTAAAAAATATAGAGATTGAAATTGAAGGAATGGTATTTTAATTAAAAACTAATAAAATTTAAAGCCTTGGAAATAATAATTTATGGGACAATTAATTCGAATTTAGTGATTAAACGAGCGACACGTGAAAGGCCGAACAGCCATACACGAACACGACTGTGGTGGGACATATCAAGTCGGGTCCACCCTGTCATCGTGCCATCCACGTGGTCCTTGAAAGCAATTCAATTGAAAGAGGTGCGTTTATTAAGAAAAAAAATTAAATTTAAACTTCGTAAATAATTTATAACCTAATATAAATTTTTTATTATTTATATTGGTAGATAATTTTGATTCCCAGTGATATAAAAATATATTATTTAAATTATTGATTTAAGAATTTATATTTAATACTTAAAATAACAAAAAAAGACCAAATTTACTATTTTAGTCAAAATTTATTAGGGGTTTGATTTTGTTTGTACATCTTGTAATAATTAATTGAAGAATATGGCTGATGGACAATTTCACCCTTACCCTTACACCAAATTAGAACGTCTGTCAGGGGTATAATAGTAATTAAGTTATGGTAGATTAGTGGATGTAATTACTTGTTTTTGTCGAAAATGTTAAAGCTAATCTTAATTTTGTGTGGATAATATTAACCTACAAGATTAAAAAATAATAATAATAATAAATTTGAACAAAACATTATTATTTAGAAAGATGGATTAAATTTTTATTTTTAATAAGATTTTAAATATTAATTTGTAAAATATATATTTATTTATTTTTAAATATTAAATTAAATTTTAATCTTAAAACAAAAATGATCATAAAATTAAAATAAATATATGTGTATAATTAGATTTTAAGCAATTTTTTAAATTAATACATAATTGAACCCAAACTAATTTTAAAATAACATATAAACTAATTAAATCTCAAATAAACTGATAAACTAATTCAAACTATACAGGTTGGATTGAGTTGAGTTTGATCGGTCTAATTTTTATTGTTAATGTATTTTTTAAACGCTTTAATAGTAATTTAATTTGAGTCTTTCCCATATTTAAATATTATAATAGGAAGTTTCCCACTACTCAACTCTTTGACTAAATATATTATTATAAAAAAAATTAACTTAATTTTACACCCGATAAATTTACGAATTCAAATAAACGTTAAATAACTTAAAATTTTAATAGAAACTAAATTAAAAGTTTAAATATTATTAACATTAGAATAAAAATTGTATTTTCTTTCAATTCATAAATTTTTATTAAAAAAAATTTAAAATGTGAAAGGGGTATAATGGTAATTAGGGAAATTAGGTGGAATAAAAATGACCCAACAAATTGATTAGCCACATGGACATAAAGTAGCGATTAACGGATAATAATTTATTGTTTTTGTCGAAAAGGTTAGCTTATAATTAATTATATTTATGTGTGGATGTTATAATTTTGCGCGTTAGGCCACAAAACAAAAAAACATAGCTCAGTAATGTCGAATTCAAAGATGTTTTATTTATTTTTTATTATTTTAAAATTAAAATTGTAATTAATAAAAATTAATTAATATAAAAAAACTCCATATATAAACAATTTTTATCCAAGAATTATAATTTTTTAAATAAATGTAAATAGTATTAACATTATTTTTAAAATTTTATGGGTATTTTTTTTAATATAAAAGTAAAAAGTATTTTTATACGAAATACAAATTTAAAGATATTTTTATTAACATAATATATTTTAACGTAAATGCGTGTGTATATATATATATGAGGAAGAAATTGAGATACCCAAAATATTGGAACTAGCCCAAAAATAAAATAAAGGTGAAATGTCATTTGTACCCTTGATGGAGCCCACTTGTATTTCTAATTTATTTACTTGAAATCACGTTTTAAAAAAATATTATTTTTTCATTTAATATTGAATGTGACAGAAAGCATAGAAGCTTAAATAAACATTTTAAAATTAAGAAAATAATGATGAAAAATGAAAAATGTTTGAATTAAAAAAATATATATTAAACACATAATAATTGAAAGGGAAAATTAATTTGATAAATCAGAAATTAATAAAAATCGTGAAATAAGGGAATAAGAAAAAAATTATGGTAAACTGTATGGTTAGGAAAGAACGGCAAAGCTTGCGATTGTGACGCAATTCCAGTGGGGTCCACAAAAACATTCCAATTCTTTCTTACATCACCCAGCCGTTACCTAACTCACAGTCAACGACGCGCCCCTTCCTGTCATGAACTTGATCCAACGGCTGATTTTACTTTAGATGCGCGCCAACTTCAAACGTGTCAATAAAAGAGCCTTCAAAATTCAAGATCCCTTTAACTTGCTGTGATCGTACATAAAAAATTCTGTTCAACTCCCATGGCTAGAGTACAAGCCGAGTACAGAGCACCAAAGGCCAAGTTCTGCAGGCGGCAAGATCGAAGCTAAAATCTGAGTTTCAGTTTGGAGAGAAATAGAGAGAGAGAGAGAGAATCGATGGCGAAAGAGAGAGAACTACTCGTTTACTATGCTAGATTGGCAGAGCAGGCCGAGAGATATGAAGGTACGGTTCATCTGTAGAATTTAATTTCGTTATTCGTGGATTATTTGCTAATTCAATTGATTATTACAATGAACTTAGGGATTACTGTTGTTTTGATTGTTTGAGACTGTAAATCCGCTATTAACGTGGTGTTTAATCACTTTTTGCTTTTGCGATTTTATTTAGAGGTCGTTGGAATCTGTCGTAATAATTATATCAAATGAAGCTTAACTATCGGGATTTGTTGGTTGTATGTCGGGGCATCTTGGCGCGTTAATCTACAAAATCAATCTGGCTCAGAAATTACTGGTTACATTAAGGCATTTTCATTTTCTCATTGGCTGTTTACAATGTTCTTGTCGCAGCGCGGCAATAATTATATGAGAATTGTTTATGCTCATGGTTTCAAAATTGATTGGTTTGTGGAGATCAAAGATGGAGTGAAAATGTGGTCAATCAAGACCTCTTCCGCCGTTCGTTGTGTGATACCATTTTCACGCTTCATCTTTTTGTATATATTGAATCTAATGGTTCGAATCATTATCTTTCCTTGCTTCAGAGATGGTTGAGGAAATGAAGAAGGTTGTGAAGTTAAACGTGGAATTGACAGTGGAAGAGAGAAATCTGCTTTCTGTTGGCTATAGGAATGTAATGGGAGCTAGACGAGCTTCATGGCGCATTTTGTCTTCAATTGAACAGAAGGAGATAACCAAACATAATGAGAAGAATGTGGAACGGATAATTGAGTATAGGCATCGGGTAGAAGATGAGCTCTCTAAAATATGCAGTGACACATTGTCAAATATTGACCAGCATCTCCTTCCAAGTTCATCAGCTGGAGAATCTACTGTATTCTACCATAAGATGTGAGATTCATAATGCTTTATCTTAACTGAAACGTAGAAATGATGAAATCTTTAGTATGCAGAACTTTGAACGGTTGGATATATGTTGTGGTAATATTGTTTGTTCATTACGAATAGGTTAGATTTCTAATCCTTATTTGCTTCATTAAGGGGATTTCACTCTACTTTTTTCGTTTCATGCTATTGCTAAATTACTGTTTTAATTGTTTGCAATAATCTATTGTTTGTTCTAAATTTGTTATATTTGATACTCTCTCTAGAAGATAAATCCCATAAATCTGCAGTTTATATATTGATGTTGGTGCGATCCATATTCTTTCGTTCAAATGATTATCATGGTTGTTACCATTTTTTTTTTCTCGATCTTCTGCTACAGGAAAGGAGATTATTGTCGGTATTTGGCAGAGTTTAAATCTGGTGATGAGCGTAAACAAGTTGCAGAACAGTCATTAAAGGCTTATGAGGTTAAGTCAGTTTCTTGTATTTCCCGGAATAGCATTTTGTGTTTCTTTATTATCTTTTCATTCCTTTTCCTATATCTATTTTTGTGTTCTAAAATTTCATAAATATGATATTAAATGTTAGGCTGCTTCGACTATTGCTAACTCTGATTTGCCTCCAACTCATCCTATAAGACTTGGCCTGGCTCTCAACTTCTCTGTTTTCTACTATGAGATTTTGAATTCCCCTGAAAGGTTAACATCTTTCCCTCACTTTTATTACTGAACATGGTAATTACTATAACAAAACGTTTCTTTTAGCTAGGAGTCACTTCCATTCCGAAAGTACAAAGCAAATGGGAAAGTTCAAGAATCCTATTTATACTCGTTTTACTTGTTTGGTCTTTATAAAATTACCACTAATTTGCGTCTTGATGAGGGAAGCCTTGCTTCATCATAATTCTATGAGATAATTTTCAGGGACTTTGCTGCACCAGGAAAGGAAGCAGTTTACCATCCTCCAACGTTTTGTTAAGGATTATTGAAAGTAGTCCCACGTTAGCTAACTAAGAGGTTGATCATGGGTTTATAAGTAAGGAATACTATCTCCATTAATATGAGGTTTTTTTGGAGAAACCAAAAGAAAAGCCACAAAGAAATCAAAAGGAAAGCCATGAGAACTTATGTTTAAAGTGATAATATCATACCATTGTGGAGAGTCGTGGTTCCTAACACGTTCTATTTTCTCGTCTTTGGTTTTATTACTTTCAATAACGTCGTATCCTTTCAGGGCTTGCCACCTTGCCCAGATCGCCTTTGATGAGGCAATTGCAGAACTTGGCAGTCTCAATGAAGATTCCTACAAGGACAGTTCCCTCATTTTGCAGCTTCTCAGGGACAATCTAACCCTGTGGACTTCCAATTTGCCAGACGAAGGTGGGGCAAATTCTTCATTTCTGTCTTTCTTTTGGTTCTACGTTGCTGTTTTACTCCATAACAATATAGTTCAAACCATTGATCTTCTTGGTTTATGAGAATCAAATCAGCATATATGGTGAATTCATATTCTGAAATAGTTAAGGTTTTGTTGTCTCTCACGTTATTTCAAAGTGTACCAATTGTCATTTGAATCTTGTTAAGTAGTATGAGTTAAACTTTCAATTAGAAACTGAGGCTTTTACTCAACAGTGGATGACTTGATATTTGTTCAATTTGACAGGAAAGCAATCCAGTACCGATGAACTCTAGAAAGAGGTAAGTTAATCACTGTTTCAATTCTGTTAATATATGAAAATCCCTGCAATGTTTTTGCACCTTATGTATTTTGCATTCGATCAATACTTAACACATGGACCAGGACCAATCAATCAATCACTAACAACCATTCCTTTAAAAAGAAAATCACTAACACAAACATTCTGTTTGCAGAGTTAATCAACATGCAACTTTGTTCCTGTGGTTGAAGTATTGAACAACGGTACATGCAGTAGTTATTAACAATTATTGTTGGGGCATGCTGATAGAACAATAGGGTTCACTGACAATTATTAGCTCTGTATTCTTTATCTGTTTCAAACACAACACATGTGAATTCTTTTTCTGAATGTGTTCTTGTTTGTTCTTTATTCTTAACTTGCCAACCTGTTTAATCTTCTTTACACCTCTGCTCCCGGGTACATTGATTTGTTCCTATTCCTAAGACTGATCAACTGCCCGACAGATTTAATCGTTGGTAATGTCCTGTGTTGATCCTTTTAGATTGTAAGATTATAGTTATCCACAAAACATTAGGGGGAAAATACCATGAACTTTTTGAAGGAAACGAAAATGGTGGCCAATGGCCTCTAGTTCACGTGGCTAGCTAATGATAGTTGATAGAGTAGGGTTTCCTACATCTGGTTGGCGGGCCTCAATCACATGATAGGAAAAGTAGCTTTAAATGTTAAAAGTAGATTACAGTTTTGAAAGATAATGTAGAAGTATCTGGAAGTCTTCTTTTAGAAAGTAACTGGTTATTTTTATCAAAGAGATCCGACTTACAGTTATCTATTAAGGTTTAAAAGATCGTTGAGAACTTCAGAGAATTCACTTATTATTGTTATTGCTTTGACCAATATTGAATGATCAGGAAGGGCTGGACCCTAACACACATCCTTTATCTAACTTTTAACTTCGTATTTACTAATCTTTTTTTGTTTAATATACCATCGAAAGTTTGATGTCATTTTCATTCCTAACAAAATTTTATTGACATTTTACAATAATTAGATACTAAATAGACATAAACTTACAAAAACTCATTAACTCATAATTTTTGTTAAGTGAAACCAAATTTTAGAAGAATGTTGATTTTTTTTTTTCCAGAATTTCATATTAGTGTTTCCAAGTCTTGACGTTCATGGATTGTGGCGTTTAAAGTTAGAAATGAGTTTCCCAGAAAGGAAAATTAGCAGAAGAGGAAGAATTAATTTGAAAGCTAAAAAAGGGAGCTCACAATCCCCCACTATAAACCCTAATGTTTATTCTTGACCAAATTGGTAATTTCAAGATAGAAATTAACGATTTAAAAAAGCCAACTTCCCATAACCTCCGGACAGCGTACAAGAAAATTAGGTTTTGGGTTTAGGTTAACCATCAAACTAATGTTTTTTTTTTAAAAGAAACCTCTTAAACAATAAAATAACAAAATTTAAATTAATGTTAATTGGGATGGTTCAAACCCTAAACCTTGATTGAGCAAATTAAATAAATTTCTACAATATAACTTCATATAGCTATCTATTTATATCTCATAATTTCGCACCAAAAAAAGAGTTAAAATCTCTTCTACCGATCCAATCAGAATCAGAAACCAATAGACTTAAAAGAAATAAATCAAAAAAGAAAAAACCACTCTGCGGAGTTATAACCGAGATCAAATTTACCAAAAACAAAAGAGAAGAGAAAAGAAAAGAAAAGAAGAATCATGGAATGTACGTAAGTAGGGGAAACCAGAGATGTGAGAGCACAAAATCTGGACGAAAGAAAATCCCGAGAGCTTACGGAATAAATATACGCCTCCAGAACAAAGCCATCACAAGAAATCGATCGAAAGATCTCAGCACTTGTAGCCGAAAGGAGAGGCGATCCATGAAATCAAACCACTTCTTTAAAACAAAAAAAATTAAAAAAAAAAAGAACTGTTCATAACCTACGAAACAACAACGCAGTCCCAAAACGAAACCCTAACGAGAGAAACCTCGAGCGCCAAGAAGTTGTTCATTCCGCAATTTATGCTTCTGATTGCAAGCCGGTGATGAATTTATAGAGAGCTATTCAAACCCTAGACGATAGATTTTTGTGTGGTAGTTTCGTAATTGTTGTAAATTTAGGTGGTAATTACAACTTGACTATATTCTATGTGGGCTTGGGCTTGGGCTTGGGCTTGGTCTTGGGCTTGGGCTTCTCTAACCTATGGTTAAATTATGCACAAAATACTAATCGTATCATAAAAGTTAAATTTTTAAATAAATATAGAATTTGGTATATATCCAAATATTGTATTTAAAAAAAGTACCCAAGTATTTTTTTTTTTTTTTTCTTATGTATTTTTAAACCAGTGGATCGTCAACTAATATTGTCCAAAATTGAAATATTTCTTTGATCGCTCCTTCAAAATTTGCTACTCGATGAGCACCATAAGTAAAAAGTACCTTGTCATTTCTCGATTCTCGATACCATTAGGTTGCTTCTTCCCAAACATTATCATACTTAGCTCTTGCCATTTCGACTCATACTCGATTAGCTTTCCTGACCATCCAATTTTTGGCTTACATCAACCCGCTCGGAATACAATTTTAGTCTCTGAATTATTCCCCATAATTCGAAAGTAACAGTTTAATCAAAATCTTCTATACCACCATGACAAAATTAAAGTTCATAAGACATTCTTTTTTTTATTTCAACCGTCTCTGCTCACAAATAGATAAAAAAAAAAAAAAAAAATTGAAATTAAAAAACAAGAAAACATCCTGAAAAGTAAAACCAAACATGAAGACACATAATCCTTGGACTACAAGGTTTGGTAGTCCTTCCATGTAATAATAAGACAATATTACACATTAAGAACTTCAAATTCACCATCAGAAAGATATCAACCAATATAGACACGATCGGCCTAATCAAATTTACAGATACAGTCTTCGTCCCACTCTTTTTATCGTCGATAAATCATCAAATCTTCGTAAGGATTACCCAAAACACGTATACTTACCTTGTTGGCCTAATCCGTAACTCGGAAAATCTTATTAGAGGTATATACTGAATCTGGAGGGGGTGGGGGTAAAAAATTTAAAATCTAAAAATCACCTAAATCTAACCACAATGCATGATATATCATCTTTACTCTCTTTCTGCAAAGCCTCAGTTATCAACTGCTTAGCAGCCTTCAATGGGTCTTTGATTCTTCGAGCGATATCGACCGCTTCTTGATTGGCCATTACCTGTTTCATTCAAATTCATAAGAACATTTGTAGATATAAAGAACAACTTTGTAATGAAAGAAATCATTTTGCCTCTTTGAGTTTTGCTCTTTCGCTGCTGTAAATGTATTAGGTGTTGATGCAACAGATAAAAGGGATGGAAGCTGATATTAGCACCTTCCATAGACCATCGCTGGCAAGAATTAATACATCCATGTTGGCATCTATGTTGATATCATGTATATCGGGATCCGATCGCAGGTGAGATTTGAGACTCTTGTCTCCAAATGCTCGTGACACTGCTAGCTGACCATTCACTCGAGGTACGTCTCCTGATTTTTATAAGAATTCAATAGGAACAGGAAAAAACATGAGTTCAAATGTTGGACCGACCTTGACTTCAACTACTCGCTGTTTCAATGTTGGGTACTTGAAACAGTTCAAAAGAGAAAGTACTCGTTATCGGTTTCGATCATTTAAGAATCATAAACGGGGACAAAAGTAACATGACTCTGTTTCTTGGAGCACTAGCTTTTCATGAGATGTCAAAATGAAAGTTTCTAAATTTGAATCCTACATTGATATGTGTCTAAAGTCTTGGCAATCGTTAGTTCTGACGTTAGCAATAGCGAAAAGTGACTAACCCAAGCTAAACAGATTTGTCCGATAAAAGAACGTCCCAACGAAAACAAGCAATTGCATACTATGGCACAAGTACAAAATATAAGTGGTGAAAAATTTGGATATCGCTCAGTACTAGATACCGATGACAACTTCTAACAAGATATACTTTACCTGGCATGTTCGAAACGAAACCCCCTTTATTCTCAATGATGCCACGCTCCGTACTTGGCTCATGGTCGATGCTCATCTGTATAGCTTCACCCCCTCTTGATAGAACTGCACGAGAATCTCCAACATTGGCCACCCATAATCGTCGACCGTTAATCAGAATAGCATTAACCGCAGTTGATCCACCACGACCCAAGTCGGAGCTGTGAGATAGAATTGCTTGGTCTGTCTTCTCATAGGCTTTCGAGATGGAGCTGTTGGGATCGACCCAAAACTCGTCCTATAATGACAAAAGTGAAAGTAAAAACCAGACCAAGAGAAGCCATATACTCAGCTTAACATCCTACCTCCTTCAGGATATTAGAAAACAAATGCTTTTGTAAATAGGCAGGCACATTTTCTCCTAAATGGCCATCGTAAATGGCAAAGAGCCCCAGTTCATGTTCTTGAATCTGAACAAACTTAGCAACATGGTAATCTTCCATGGGATGATTAGCTTTCCCTTTTACCAGGCAGAACCCGTACTTGATAAGCCCCTCGTGGCTTCTTCCTTTACCGTAGTTTAAAGCCGATCTAATCTACACGACGAAATTGTCAACAGAAGTATAAGAATCTAAAAACAAATTCACTTGAATCACAGTTCTTGTAATTATCAGGTCGGGATCATTCTTTTCGATTAGAGTCCACTCTCGTAGTTGAGGACTCGTTGGTTGGGATTGTTTTTTGTATGGTCGTGTACCTTCTTTCATTTTTCTCAACGAAAGCTCGGTTTCTTAATTCTTACCCAAAAATACAAAAACTACTTACTCGACTTAAGATAAGAACCCTGCCAATAGCCACGGTCCGTTGAGCAGTTAATCATGCTCTAGATGTAGGGCAATGGTTTCCACCAAACTCAAGGTTCTTGTCTCTTTAGAACTCAATAACAAAGTTGTACGACCTATAGAATAGAGATCCTGTTCGAGCGAGGTCGTTGCACCATGCATAATTTTTTGTTTAGATCATCTACAGCCTCAGGTCCGTCGAGCAATTAATCACGCTCTAGATGTAGGCCAGTGGTTCATCCACCAAACTTAAAATTCTTGACCCTTTAGAACTCAATAACAAAGTCGCACGACCTATAGAACAGATCTTGTTCAAGCAAGGTCGTTGCACTATGCATAACTTTTGTTTAGATCATCTACAGCCACAGTCCGTCGAGCAGTTATCACGCTCTAGACATAGGGCAATGGTTCACCCACAAAACGTAAGGTTCTTGACCCTTTAGAACTCAAGAACAAAGTTGTACAACCTATAGAACAGATCCTGTTCAAGCAAGGTCGTTGCACTATGCATAATTTTTGTTTAGATCATCTACAGCCACGGTCCATCGAGCAGTTAATCACGCTCTAGATGTAGGGCAATCGTTCATCCACCAAACTCAAGGTTCTTGACCCTTTAGAACTCAAAAACAAAGTAGTACAACCTATAGAACAGATCCTGTTCAAGCAAGCAAGGTCGTTGCACTATACATAACTTTATCACCTAAATTTCTATAGTCCCCAGCTCCTAATCCACCAAAAGAGTTGATCAACAACTTTACCTTGTTCAAACAGAGTTTTGATAGAATTGTAAGAAGTTCCTCATACTAAATTTCTCTGTGATTTTGGTCAAATTTTGGCACATAAGGGAAAGAACACAATTACAATCGAAGAATCATGAAGAACAAAAAGAAAAACAAAACTTACCCGAGAGTATGAAGCATTAAAACAACAGAGCCTATCCATAAGTAAAAATTTCAAAAGAATTCCAAGTGGTTGTGCTAATTTCTCAACATCTATCCCTCGTACAGAGTCATCTCCACCAAATCAACCCAAAAACCCCAATTCCAATCAAATCCACCTCCAGAATTCACCAACTGCGCCATCAATTTACGAACTCAATAACGATTCATAATAATCCATAAGGAACGATGCCCTAAAAGCCTCTAGAAAACCAAGAAAATAGTCAAAAGGATGATGAAAAACGGTACCTGAGTGGCTGAAATCTCCCATGAACGATCAGATTAAAGCTCAAGAACAAAGAGGAAAAAAATGGTTTAAGGTTTCGCACCTTCTTCGTCTTCTTCCTCTTCTTCTTCTTCTTCAGGTTCTTCTTGTTGCTGTGTATTGCTTCAGTTGGTTCTTAATTGGTTGAATGATGCGAGAAGGAGAGAGAAAAGGAGTAGGAACATATTTTGTAAGCTTTTCTCTGAAAATCAAAATTAAAAATTAAATAATTAAAAAAATTAAAATTTAATAAATAACAAAGCATGAGAGAGAGAGAGAGAGAGAGAGAGAGAGGCATCGTTCCATTGCCATGATTTGCAACCGTTTTGGAAGTCTAAGCTGACTCAGCAAATGCATGACTAAAGTTATTAAAATTATTAAAAATTATTTGTTTTAAATATTTTTATCTAAAAAAGAAAAAAGAAAAAATGGTATAAAGAAAAGGCTCTGTTGACTTTATTTATTTTATTTCAATATTTATTCCACCATTTTTTTCACCATTAAATTTATAAAATCATTTCGGATTTTCCGAGATTTGCCCAGGTCCGAGGTGGAGTCCAGCATTCTCGCTGGCACCGCATGATATCTCACTCTTTTACCATTTGTAATGGTTTAAGCTCACCGCTAGCCGATATTGTATCTTTTGAGTTTTCCCTCATCGTTTTTAAAACTCGTCTATTAAGGAGAGATTTTCACACTCTTTGTAAAAATATTTTGTTCATTTTTTATATTTATGCGAGTTAAATGATATGTTTAGTCCATAAACATGAGCGGTCCATTAAACTTGTAGGGCTAGGGATACACCCCTAATGGGATGCAAAATTCTCGAAAAATTAAGAGAGGTTTCTCTTTGTTAGCTAAATGGGGTCGGAGATAAAGATTATATTCTCAATCCTTGTCCAACCGTAGTTTTTAAATATAAGTATACATACATATGGAAAACTACGTTGTAATATTAAAATTTGAGTTTTACTTATAAAATATTATTTGATTTATTCCGTTATTTTATATGTTTTAATATAAATTATATTGAAAAATGAAAATTCTATAAAATTTATTTAAAATAAATAAATTAATAAGTAATTGATTAATTATATAATATAAGGTGTAATTGTTTAATTCATACCGTCAAACTAATATTAAAATGGGGAACTACCTAAACAACTATAAAGAAAAAAACATTATGTTTACGTAATGAATAATAGCTTTATTGAGCGACGAAAACTTAGAATATATGAAATTTAATTAAATTTGAGGGACTAAATAATAAACAAGTGTCAATATAAGTATAACTCAACTCGTTGTGATATTTATCATCGAACAAAAGTTGCTAGTTTAAATCCCGACATCCACGTATTCGTAAAAAGAATAAATAAATAAATTGAAGCAAACCCGGTTTATATTTATTTAATTTTAAACTTTAATGATCCATATTTAAACTTAAAATTTTTTATTTAATAAATTGTAGTATTTATTTTTTTTATTTAATAAAATTATAATATTTTTAATTTTGTGTGAATAAATTTTATAAATTACTTTTTTACAAAATAGAATAATTAATAATTAAATATATTTTTTAAAATTAATAACTAATAAATTTAGAAACAATTGGGCAAATAATCAAAAGCGCGTGAAAGGGGAGAATTGACTAGACGGTCAAGTTGACCGAGTCAAAGCTTGAGCTACAATTTTGTGGTTGATTCATAAATCTGAAACCTTAAGTCCTTTTATATTCTTTTAGGTTATAATTTTACCACTTTTTATTTTATTTTATGTCTCTAACTTTTTGGTCCAATTAATTATGAATTTTCTTTTTTCGAACTTTCCAAAAATTAAATAATAATAATAATAATAAATAAATAAATAAATATTTGAATTTCACTCTCGAGAAGTGGTATAAACTTGTATCTATATTCTCGTTGAAATTTTATTCTCAATTCTCGATTGTATTATACTTACATTTATTCTAATATATCAAAATCCTGAATCTAATTCGACAATAATCTCATCATAAGCATCTATATTAAATTTTAAATTTTAAATTTTAAAATATTTCATTTCTAACGATCTTATTCTCGGGTTACATTGATTAAGTAGCGGGTGGAGATGAGAAAGAATATTTAAGAATTTAAAAAGTCAAATTGATTGATTTAACAAAAAAAAAAAAAAAAAAAAAATTGCCATTATGCTTAAAGTTTGTAGCATATAAACAGAGATAATAAAGCAAGAAAATAGAAATAAAAAAAAAAAGATAATTTAAGTGTTGACTTTCTTTAGTGGTCTGAAAATGGAATCTGATGCTTCTCAAAAAAAAAAAAAAAAAAAAAAAAAATTGCCATTATGCTTAAAGTTTGTAGCATATAAACAGAGATAATAAAGCAAGAAAATAGAAATAAAAAAAAAAAGATAATTTAAGTGTTGACTTTCTTTAGTGGTCTGAAAATGGAATCTGATGCTTCTCAAAAAAAAAAAAAAAAAAAAAAAAAATTGCCATTATGCTTAAAGTTTGTAGCATATAAACAGAGATAATAAAGCAAGAAAATAGAAATAAAAAAAAAAAGATAATTTAAGTGTTGACTTTCTTTAGTGGTCTGAAAATGGAATCTGATGCTTCTCAAAAAAAAAAAAAAAAAAAAAAAAAATTGCCATTATGCTTAAAGTTTGTAGCATATAAACAGAGATAATAAAGCAAGAAAATAGAAATAAAAAAAAAAAGATAATTTAAGTGTTGACTTTCTTTAGTGGTCTGAAAATGGAATCTGATGCTTCTCAAAAAAAAAAAAAAAAAAAAAAAAACCTTTTACGTGCCCAAGATGTTTTTCTTTCGTTCAATGAATTAAACATATACTTTCGATCAATAAGCTAAAAGTTCAAATTTTCAAACTCCACGTGTCGTTAAGCCCATAAAAAGCAATCAAATTAACGGTAGCTGAACTCCACGCATGAATGCACGCAGAGTTAGGCATCTAAAGGCAAGCAAGATAGAGAAATATTTCGATAGCTTAAGCACGAGCTTACAGGAATCCGGGCTAATCGCATACTTGAGTTTATTCGAAGACAACGAGAATCACTATTCCAGTTCTCTACACTTCTGTTACAGCTACACAAATTACAAATTTCACTATACAGCATAGCAAGAGTTATGATACAACTGTAATAACGGAACGGAACGAGCGAGATGATCGGGCGATGAACTACAGCTATGAGTTAGGTATTTCATACACATGACAGTAACCAATGGTCAAGTCAGATTGGTGGAGAAAGTAGAAGAACATGTTAGTGTTTTGCTGACTGACCAGAGCTAATAGAACAGGATAGCCTTTGTCTGTCTGCCTGCCTGCCTGCTAGTCCTCACCTGTTTAAGAAAAGTAAACAAACATTTGAATTCAGCTTCTTAATCATAACGACGATGACGATGACGATGATATGCAGCCGAATGTTCGTGTTTTTTCGGTAGAAGATTTTTGAGACATTGTTACCCGGTTTGAGATAGCCGCCTCCAATTGATTATTTGATGAGTCTGTTGATGTCCCTGCAAGAACGAAGAGCTTGTTCCAATGCCGTTTTCGTCGACCACAAACTGCTCGCCGTAACTCGAACTTGGTGGAGACCAAACCGGAACCACACCTCCATCTCTTTCTCTTCGACCGTCGCTACTCGAAAAAGACTCTGCAGTGGAGTCTTCAGCACCACTTCTTAAGTCTATACCTGCAGTATATGGAAGTCGAGCGTTCATCGGAGCAGTCGGAAGAACTCTTCGATTTGCATCTCTGGTTGGCTCTTGGTTTAGATTTAGATCTGTTGGTACTTCTGCCCTACCATCTTCTGCTGTACTTCGAATGTTCATTGAATTCAAAGAATGGTCGTCTTCTAACCTCACCGAACTCGTCATGCTTGGGACCATCTGATCCTCGAAGCACCGAATTGTATGAGCATTCATCCTAGCAGGCTCAAGGTCTTCATCCTCCATGGCTATGTCCTGAGGAAATGCAATTGGGATCGACTCGGATGAGTCTCCGAGTCCCTCTTCAGTTCCATTATCGATCACAGCTCTTGAAGCTGCTTCTTGTTGCCACATCTCTGACAGCGCTTCTTCCAACCGAGCCTTAGCTGCATCCAATCCTACGATGGGAAGAGGGTAGTTCGATCCGAGCTCAATCCCAGCAGCTTGGAGTACCGACTCTGGTGCATTCCATGGATGATGGATCCATTCAGTTGGTAATCTAGAAAGTTCAGGAAGCCATCTCCGGACGTATTCTCCGTGCGGATCGAACTTATAACCCTCGAGCTGTACAAAACCAAGTATTAGTACAGATAATTACATCCAGAAACACAATGCAGATATTAAAACAAGACCATTTTTGGAAAGCTTTATGTCTAAAACGCTCCATAAGAAACCTTTTTGCACAAAGAGGAAGAACACTGAAGGTGTGCGCACCTGTGGATTGTCGATACAATCAAATTCCCGACTGTCGGGAAGTGTGCCAGATATGTATTGCCATCCAAGAGCATCGCTCTCGAGATCTGCATCCAAGAGCGTATCCCAGAAATACTTCATTCCCCATCTCCACGGAAGCTGCAGAACCTTCACAAAGAAGCTAGAAACGACGACTCGGATCCGATCGTGCAGCCACCCGGTCGCCCACAATTCCCTCATACCAGCATCGACTAATGGATAACCGGTTCTTCCTTGCCTCCATGCCTTAAAATAGCCTTCATCCACAACCCAGGGGAAAAATTTAAGGTGCCCAAGAAGTGGCCTTTCATGGCTGTACGGATGGTTGAAACTCATGTATCTTGAGTATTCTCTGAGCCCAATAGATTTGAGAAACAAGTTGACACTCTCTTCACCAACCTCGTTTCCTTCATTCGCCCATAAAACCTGCTTCATTCGAACGAGATGAAACACTTTTCGCACGCTTACCTCCCCGAAATGCAAGTGAGGAGACAGAAACGAGGTGGTTGCACTATCCGCCTTCCTACGGTTTTTTGAGTACTCAATCAACGGTCCATTGATGAATGTGGTCAAAGCCTTATCTGCATTGCTCCATCCAGGAGACCATGCTCGGGCGAGAAGTGCGTTGCTTCCCTTCTCCAATTCGTCTTCGAATACCAACGTATCGCTTGGGCACCTCGATGCATCACCTGGACGAGCAAAGACAATACTTTGAGTAAAGCNGGGGGGGGGGGGGGGGGTGAACATGATCTGTTCAGTAGGTCATACTACTACGTCCTCGAGTTCTTAAGTTCCACAATATGCCATTATGCCCAACAATATCAAAAGAGTTTACTCTTAAAAGAATAGGTTTTTTTTTTAAAACGTGTCTACTAGGGAGAGGTTTCCACACCCTTATAAGGAATGCTTCGTTTCCCTCTCCAACCGATGTGGGATCTCACAAGAAAAATCCCTTCATGGTCTACTAGTTTGCAAGTAGTAGACCATGAACAATTCTCTTAGCATGAACAGTTTCAATACTTTCATGAACAGTTCTGATGTTTATCCATCTGCTGGCATGTGATGTTTGCAAGTAACCATCTCTTAGCATGAAGGCTCGTGTTCTCGAATGCTATTCTATGTCTATGCACACCGACACGATAATATGCCCTATAAGAGCCACCTAAAACACGTAACAAATGAAACTACGCAACTTTGGGGTACCTAAAGAACACTTGGTTCATTGAGTCTCTACCTCAACAGATCCTCAACAACTCGACATCGACTCTTGAATGGTGACATAAGTAAGGAGGCTTGTGGAACACAGTAACATATTACGATAGATAGCAAGACATACAATATAAAAACTAAAGAAAATGGATAGACGGTTGTGAAGCAATCAGTTTCGTGAAACTCTTGACTAAAATCAAAATGGATGAGCAGAGGTTCTCTCTTACGAAAACCGTCACGACGAACGAACACAACAGCTAGAACGTTACGAATCCATCAAATACTCGATAAGGGAAACAAATCTTTGAAGTAAACACAAGATTTCTTCAACTAAACTAAAAAAAAGCAACCTGAAATGATTCTCTTAGGTGGAAGAAGTGGTGCCTCTGGATCACAAGGCATGCTAAGACATCTTTCCCAGAACCTGGCAAACGTCGTAAACGGATTGCCATCGACATCCTTAACGTCCCACGGCTCGTACAGCAAATCGGCATTGTAAGACCTCACGCCGATGCCTTGCGCAGATAAAACCTCCTTTGCTCGATGATCACGAATAAGCGACAAAGGATCTAACAAACATGAAGAACTCCATTAAGACACCCAAATTATCAGAGAGATTCCTTTCACAGCCATTTTAGAACCCTTTAAGAAAGCTTAAACACTTACAAAACTAGCCTGAGAACACAATTTTACAGCACTAGTAGCGAATTAAACCAAATCAAAAAGGGGTTTACCAGAAACCTTACGAACAAATCAATTCCAATAACCCTAACGGAGAAATTGAGCGACCGATTCAAAGAAGGATTTAGAAATGGAAGAAGAACAGACCGTATAAGTGATTGAAGAAGAGCTGAGAAGCACCGGTGGCTTTAACAACATCGAGCAAAGTAGAAATGGTGTTGGTGGATCTCTTAGTGACAAGATAAGCGCCGAGGCTTCTAAGCGAAGAATCGAGATGAGCTAAGCTCTGTTTGAGCCACCACCGCGAGACTCGGCCAGGATAGTAGTGACCTTCTTCCTCCGGCGCCCAGATGAAGACGGCGACGACGATGGCGCCAGCCCTGACGGCGGCGGTGAGAGCTGGGTTATCTTCAACCCTGAGATCTCTTCTGAACCAAACTATGCTGCAACCGCCACCTGACATCTCACAACACAAAACGCCCCAGAAAACACGTACCCTTGTTTCTCTCACTCACCAATCAACCATATCCATCTCTCTCCTCTTTCTCTCTCCTCTTTCTCTCTCCTCTCTGAGACTCACAGTTTTTTAATTATTTCTTTACCTTATATTTTATTTATTTATTTATTTATTTTCTTGAGATTATTGGGAACTCGACGATTTTCAGGGGATTAACATAGAAAAAACGAGAGAGAAACAGAATCATATTACAAAAAAATATATTTTTTTCTGTAAAAATAAATAAATAATTAATTAATTATAGAATCCAATTTTTTTTTTTTTTTTTTTTTTCTGAAACAAGTTGAAGAACAAAAGCTTATGAAAAAGGAGGGAGAGAGATGGGGTGAAGAGGATCGGTTAATGGAGTGGGGATTAGGATACAGCAAATTGAGCCCAAATTCTAGCCACAGACATATTTTCTTTTTTTTTTTTAATAGATATTATTTTTATTTCCTCCTCTCTGGAAAATAATAATAATAATAATAATAATAAGATCCCATGTCTTCGATCATTTCGTTTTCCATAATAATAAAAATAAAATTAGGTTAATTTAAATATTATTAAAATATATTTTCAACCGTAGATTAATTTAAAATTTAGCTCTGAAATAATATTTTTATTTCTTAGAAGGTGATATTTTTGGTGGATAATTTTTTATTATTATTATTATTATTGTGACGATTTTACTATTTTGGATCTCGACCATGCTCCTGGTTTCCATTTCTATCATTGTATTGATGACAAATCCTCTCGTACTCCACTACAAGAATTTAGAGTTCCGATCAGGTAAGGTAACGTTATGGTTGAAACATATATCGAAGGCTTTTGAGTAATTGGCTTGTCCAACTCAAAAGCATTCACAAGTCACTCGTTCAACTCCCTCAGAGACGTGATCGAGAAATACCGTGCAATGTTTCCTCGTGTCCTTTCTTTCTCTTAGTCCCACCGAGCACTAAAAAAAAGTCACTCCTTCCCCCAACTCCTCTCGTCTTTATTTTTTATTAATAAAGTCAAGGTTAGAGGCTAAATAAATAGATCTGGTATGATTTTGACTCAATTAATTTACAATATTATCGAATTTTGGATTTTATTTTGTCGCAAGGATCCATCTATATTAAATAAATATATATTTGTTTTTATATATGTATATTTAAAAAAAAAACATATAAAAACGTATAAATTAGAAAACAAAAATAATAATTTTTTTTAAGAAAATATAGATAAGAACAAAGACAACGTCAAAGCTTCAAAATCAAGAAGAACAAGTGCATACCTTTCTTGTCCTTCACATATATAAAGTATATCAATTTAGAATTAAAAAAAAAAAACAAAACAAATTAACAAGTCAAATATTTAATTAAGTCTTAATCATCATTAATTCGTCTAATTACCTAGTTAGAAATACTAATTTCTTAAAATAAATGAAAGAAAAAAAATTCACGTAAGGTTAAAATGGTAATTACACAGGTCCGAAGAAAATGATGTCCGAACTGAGAAGGTGATTGGGAGAACCTGATCTTGGTTGTCCTTGTTTGGATTAGGGGTGGGTCTGAGCTCCATGTTTTTTAATTTTGGACTATTCATAGACTAAGATTCCATACCTAATATACAAGATTGAATTGGCTTCCCTCTCCACGTCATCAACCATATCTACTCTCTACTAATATCTATACCTTATTTCCATTAAAATTTGAAAACATAAATATATATATATATATGAACGAATAATTTTATTAAACAAAAAAGAGTTAAAACATATATTTATAGACTATGAAAATTTATAATTTTTTTAAAATAAATTTAATTGGTTAAAAAATCTATTTTGATTTCTCTAATTTATTAATAAAATATTTATTAAAAATAATATTTATGTGGTCAAATGATTAAAATAATATATAATAGGATAGGTGGTAAATGTTAAAAGAAGAAATTGATTTTTTAATAATTTATTTTTGGATATTTTAAATAGAGAAAATAAAAAACAATAAATAAATATTTAGTATTTGAGAGAGGTTGAATAAACTTATATTTAATTTTTCAAAAGTTTTATTTTAATCTTACAAATGTTACACGTGCTTCTAAATTTTAAGGTAGATTTTAATTATATTTTATACGATTAGTCGCCATATTTGAAATTAAAATTTATAAATAAGAAATATATTTTATTGAAATTATTATTATTATTATTTTTTTTTTGCGAAAGTCAAAATGGCTTATAAGAATGGTGTTTTTTTTTTTTTATATTATTGATCCCACTCTTTCATATAATTCTCGTACTTTTACCTAATTCTTGTAAATCATATTTTGTAGTCCGTATTATTTTTGAATGAACCTAAAAAATAATCTTCGAATAAGGAGAGAATAAGGATGGAAACCTAAATTGATACGTTTTGTCTCCTTAATTGAAACAAAAATCGCCATGAAAATAACAATAATAATGTGTTGATAAGCCATATGCCCATGGCTAAGCCATTTTCGACAAACAAAATTTGATAGGTGTGACGCTTGGGGAGTGTAATTGATAGTTTGAAATAAAGGCGGTTCTACGAGGGGTACGACATGTCGTCCAGATAATACGCAAAAAATCTCATTTGTCCCGTTTGGAAGCCGACGTCCCCATATGTCCATCTATCCATATGCCCTTCTACATCGACCCCTTCCTTCCGCTATTACATAATGTCGTTAAAATCGTTCAACATCTACATCACATATTCAAGCGACTTAACTACCGCCCTCTAATTGTTGAAGATTATTGAAGTCAAAGGTGACTCAAGTGTCGAACAAAGGGTGCACTTTGTTTGACGGCTCTAAAGATGGAGTCAAGACTCGATTAAGGGGAGACTGTTCCAGAGCTCTAGAGAATGAGACTCTATGAATTTTTTTCCCTTTGAGTAAAATCTATGTCGAATAAAGAGTGTACTTTGTTTGAGGGTTTTAGAGATGGAGTCGAGCCTCAATTAAGAAGAGACTCTTCTAGAGCTCTATAGAAAAAGTTTTATTTTAGAAGCATTGACACAAGTTTTAGAGATCTAAGAAGTTAAGTTAAATTATATGTATAGGGCCAAAGCATTTAAAGATACAGGTTACCGTTGAAGCCGAGCAGAGACATTAAAAGAGCTGTACAATAAATGCTGCAATAACTAAGCAGCCTCCACCGGCAAACCCTAGACCTCGGCCCACACGCACTCTCCTCTTCTCTGCAATGGCCGTCGCTTCGAGTGTTCTCTCATTTCTTCCTTCGTTTTCATCTCTAGATCCATGGCCGAAGACGCCGCCCTTAAATCCTCTCTGGTTTTCCTAGCCGCCACCGTCGTTCTCGTCGGAATCTCCACGCATTCTTTCAAGAAGATGGCCGTAACTTATTTGGTCGGCGTTTTCGCCATCGCCGGCATCCTCTTGCCAGACTGGTGCTTCTTCGACCGCGATTTCTCCCGGTGGATTTCTCCAGTCACCGAAGAGGAAAGGGAATCGTATCGGATCTCGACTGCATCTCGGAATCCAAGGTCGGTTACTTTTGATTCTTTTTTCTCTTTGCGCTCTGTTTCTGTTGTTTGATTGATTCCAGAGCAAAAATTGTGCGAAAAAACATTAGATTAAGTGATTTTATAGCCTTTGCCAAATCAATTTCGTAATCGTGTTTACTGAAACCTCGTTTGGTTTTTGAAAGTGATTTTTCGAACTCTTCAGTTGAATGCATGGAAACTGTTGCAGGTTTAGGATTTATCCAAAATTGTGCGAGAAAGTTAGGTTAAGTGAGTTTGCAGTCTTTGCCAAATCAAATTCGTAATCGTGTTTATTGAAACTTCTTTTGGTTTTTGAAAGTGATTTTTCAAAATTTTCATCAGAATTCTTGGAAACTGTTGCAGGTTTAGGATTTATCCAATCAGACTGGCTGTGTACGCCACAGTTTACAGTGCTGCGCTATACAAGTGGTGGAAATTCGTTTCCACCTAAATCCTCTATCATATCTGTAGTTATTATCTGCTATAGACATTTTCTTTTATGCAGAAAATAAAAATAAATTCCCCCAAAATTTGTCCATTTTTTCTCTTAACACTTCCAATTGTTAGACGAACACGACTCTCCACAATGGTATGATATTGTCCACTTTGAGTGTAAGCTCTCATGGCTTTGCCTCATACCAATGGAGTTAGTATTCCTCACTTATAAACCCATGATCATTCCCTAAATTAGCCGATGTGGGCCCTTAATCGAGGCTCGACTCCTTTGGAGTCTTAGTATTCCTCACTTATAAACCCATGATCATTCCCTAAATTAGCCGATGTGGGCCCTTAATCGAGGCTCGACTCCTTTGGAGTCTTAGTATTCCTCACTTATAAACCCATGATCATTCCCTAAATTAGCCGATGTGGGCCCTTAATCGAGGCTCGACTCCTTTGGAGTCTTAGTATTCCTCACTTATAAACCCATGATCATTCCCTAAATTAGCCGATGTGGGCCCTTAATCGAGGCTCGACTCCTTTGGAGTCTTAGTATTCCTCACTTATAAACCCATGATCATTCCCTAAATTAGCCGATGTGGGCCCTTAATCGAGGCTCGACTCCTTTGGAGTCTTAGTATTCCTCACTTATAAACCCATGATCATTCCCTAAATTAGCCGATGTGGGCCCTTAATCGAGGCTCGACTCCTTTGGAGTCTTAGTCATTTTTGACTGCCTTCGTACCTTCGAGTGCCTTGCTCTCATGGCTTTGCCGACTCCTTTGGAGTCTTAGTCATTTTTGACTGCCTTCGTACCTTCGAGTGCCTTGCTCTCATGGCTTTGCTTTGGGCTTAGGCCTCATACCAATGGAGTTAGTATTCCTCACTTATAAACCCATGATCATTCCCTAAATTAGCCGATGTGGGCCCTTAATCGAGGCTCGACTCCTTTGGAGTCTTAGTCATTTTTGACTGCCTTCGTACCTTCGAGGAGGCTTGACTCCTTTTGGAGTCCTTTGTTCGACATTTAAGGATTTGCCAATCTATTGGCACGACTAAGTTTAGGGCATGGCTCTGATACCATGTTAGACGAACACGACTCTCCACAATGGTATGATATTGTCCACTTTGAGCGTAAGCTCTCATGGCTTTGCTTTGGGCTTCCCAAAAGGCCTCATACCAATGGAGTTAGTATTCTTCACTTATAAATCCATGATCATTCCCTAAATTAGCCGATGTGGGAATTTCATCATCCAACACCAATTTCATCAAATTAGCGCTCAAAATTAGACAAAATTCAATTTTTATTTGCAATTTTGACAACTTATAATATAACCTTTTTAAAAAATATTTTTATTTGATTGATGAGTCATTAGACTATATATATATATATATATTGAAATAAATAAAGTGTGGAAATAATTGTGAAATAGAATTGTCTTTGAAAGAGTTTGGCCACAAATATGATAATTCCGTACTTGGTAGATGTCTCATGTATGTTGACAATTCTCGTGATGGAAATTAATAATCCTTTGCGTGGACGGAAAGGCTAGCATCCCTTATAATAAATTTGACGTTAAGGTTAAAATACTTATTTATTTATTTTATTATATTTATTGGTAAAATTTACACGTAATTTAATACCCGAAAACTTGACCGAATTAGCTAATTATTATGTGATAGATATTATCATATTTTTTAAAATATTAAAGAATAATTGAAGTGAATAAATAAACACTTCCTATTTTAAATTAAGCTACAATATAATTCGTATTTAAAATGAAAATGTCAAAAAGAACAAGAATATTAGCAACATAAATATTTTATTATATAACACTTAATACTCTAATTTATTTATTTTTTATATAAAATAGAATGATAAATTATCCCAATCCACCGCAGACGCACGTGTCATGAGCCACGTGGGAGTTCTCGAGAGACGTGCCAATGTAAAATAATCGTAATCTCTATCTCCTATTGGCACATGAAAGTCACGCGTCAAACTATGGGCCGCGCCATGTGCCCTTCTTTCTCCCTCGTAGTACGTGCCAACATTACCGCTTAACAAACCACGTGTCAATTCCACTAATTTCATTTTATATTTAAAATTGAATTACAAATTTAATTATTCTGATCTTATAATTCGTAATTTTTTTTTTGTAATTTTAAATAGTAAAATTAAATATTTAATAGATATATTTATTAGAATTTTAATTCATGAACATCACGAAGACATTAATTTTATTTTCAACATCATATGAATTAAATTTTAGCTTTCTCCAAAATTTTAATTTAACCTCTTTAAAAATTATCATTTTTACTCTTAGAATTTGGAATTTTTTAAAATAAACACTTGAAACAAAAAAAATTACAATGTATTCTTTTGCATAATTTTTGGAAATTATATTTTGCTTACTTATATTAATGTTTAGCTTATTTAATTATATTTATTTATATAGTAATAATTCATTATAATAATAATTAAAAAAAAAGAAAATGTGTATAATCTGATAATTCGGAAAATGAAATATGTCGGTTCGTCGGCTTCGACTACATATAAAAGGCAAAATCGAACCGTAAAATGAAAACAGCGCCAAAGTTGAAAAAGGAAAAGAAGGAGAGAAAGTGAGAGGGAAAAAAAAAACTCGAAAACGAAAAGCCAAAGCGTTAAAAGGGAAATTTCGATCAAACAAGATGCGCCCCTTGTTTGGCGTTGAACACGCTGCTATTCCCCGTACTTGGAGTTCAAATACCGATCCTACCGATCGGAGAATCAACGCTCTCGTAAGACATCTGGTCGAATCGTCTTCATCCTCTATGGCTGATTCACTCTCTGCTTCTGTCGCTTCCTCGCTGCACAGCGATTCTGTTTTCGCTCACGTTCTTCGTGCTCCTGAAGATCCTATTCTCGGGGTATTCTCTTTCTCTAGCTCTTTTGATCAATCGCTCTAGGTTTTTCATTGCTGTGCTCTTCAATCTGCTTTGTTTAGTTGCGGACTAGTTCTGAGGATTTCGTTATATTCTTGTGTTAGTTTTTTTCTTTTCTTTTGCGGTGATTGATTTCTGTTTAGGTTTTAGTGTTTCTTATATCTGATTTTGACTTTTTGTTTCTATTATACGGTATGTTACGGAAATGAATTATGTCCGAACTTTTGGATACACGCGATCGGGAATTTCTTTTTGGCTGTTTGTGGATCGTGATCGTTCCTGTGTGTTTTCGTTTAAATTTAATTGGTTGTTATTTCTTATGTCATTTTGTACTCTTTTGGAAATTGTTTGGCTCATCAGCTGGTTTATTACGGCTTTGGAAACGTTGAAGGATTTTCTTTAGGGAATAGAATGACTATCGGACAAAAGTCTGCTCGCTTACTTTTTAAATTGCATATTTGCACATTTTGCTTCTATTTATCTGATGTTTTGCAAGTTTTACATATATCAGTTACTGTGTTGAACTTTGAATATGGATAGGTGACTGTTGCGTATAACAAAGATCCGAGCCCGAACAAGTTGAATTTGGGCGTTGGTGCTTACAGAACTGAGGTACGTTTCTGTGGCTTTAAATCTTGATATTATTCGTGATTAAGATGCCAAAGTGTTAGTTAGGAGCATTTTAATCTTTTGGTGTTTTGATCTGATAGGAAGGAAAACCTCTTGTCTTGAACGTTGTCAGAAAAGCAGAGCACCAGCTTGTTAACGATATGTACTTTTCTTGATCATTCTCTTGTGAATCTTACTTGATATAGATATAGGCTGAGGTTCTGATTTTAATGATCCACAGTACACGAGTTAAGGAGTATCTTCCGATTGTTGGATTGGCAGAGTTTAATAAACAGAGCGCTAAGCTCATTTTTGGTGCGAACAGGTAAGCTGTACCGGTTTTTACTTACTGTTGGTTAGTTATTGCCTTTTACATTTGGTTGCTCATACTTGGATCAGTAGTATAGTAGCCTTAATTCAATAGTATTCTTTTGGATCGTGTTTCTAATCCTTACTTTGATATAGCCCCGCCATTCTTGAGAATCGTGTTGCAACAGTTCAATGCTTGTCTGGTACTGGATCATTGAGGGTTGGTGGTGAATTTTTGGCAAGGCATTATCATGAGGTGAGAAGTGGTCAGCTGTTCATTAACGTACTTAATATGTTTTTCTTGTACATGGTGATAAAACTGTCTTAACATGCCTTTTTTTTTCTTTCTTTCATGTATTCCAGCGGCAAATATACATCCCCCTGCCAACATGGGGAAACCATCCCAAAGTTTTTACTCTGGCTGGGCTGTCTGTAAAAACTTACCGGTATTATGATCCCTCAACACGAGGGCTGAATTTTCAAGGTTCAAACCTGTACCCTGTGACATTTCCAAACATTTTTTTCTTCGTTCTATCTCCATTTTGACTTCCATTGTGTTTTATCGGTTATGGAAATGCTGGCATAATTTAATTATTCTCGACATGAACAAGTCACTACAGTTCCAACTTGTGACATAAGAGAGTGATTCAAGAGGATTTGTTACTTAAATTTTGATGTTGAGAATGCCAGTTCCTTACCATTTCTTACCTCTTGGTCTACCAACTTTAATGTGTCACAGGCCTCTTGGAAGATCTAGGTTCTGCTCCACCTGGAGCTATAGTTCTGCTTCATGCATGTGCTCATAATCCAACTGGTGTCGATCCAACCCTTGAACAATGGGATCAGATCAGGAAATTGATGAGATCAAAACAGCTTTTACCTTTCTTTGACAGTGCTTATCAGGTAGAGTTCTACATAGTATAAAATGAAAAATGACATTTCTTAACAGCTTCATACATGTGCGTATCAGTTTTTCTGATATTTTTTTGCTTCTTATGATCCAGGGTTTTGCCAGTGGAAGTTTGGATACGGATGCACAACCTGTACGATTATTTGTTGCTGATGGAGGTGAATGTTTTGTAGCCCAGAGTTATGCAAAGAACTTGGGGCTTTATGGCGAACGTGTTGGCGCTTTAAGCATTGTAAGTTTCTAAAGGAGTGTTCTTACTTCATTGGGATGCCATGGAACATCATATCTTCATTGATTTAATCATTAGTTAATGGAATTTGTGTGGTATTGATGATGAAAGAAGGTTCTA